CACTGATGTCCAGTCATCATAAATAAACAGTTCCCCTGATGTCCAGTCATCATTAATAAACATTTCCACTGATGTACTGTCATCAAAAATAAACATTTCCACTGATGTACTTTCAACATAAATAAACAGTTCCCCTGATGTCCTGTCAACCTAAATAAACAGTTCCCCTGAAGTCCAGTCATCATAAATAAACATTTCTACTGATGTACTGTCAACATAAAGAAACAGTTCCCCTGATGTCTGGTTATTATTAATAAACAGTCCCCCTGATGTCCAGTCATCATAAATAAACATTTCCACTGATGTCCAGTCATCATTAATAAACATTTCCACTGATGAACTGTCATCATTAATAAACATTTCCACTGATGTACTGTCAACATAAATAAACATTTCCCCTGATGTCCTGTTATCATACATCAACAGTTCCCCTGATGTCCTGTCAACATTAATGAACATTTTCGATGATGTCCTATCAACATAAATAAACATTTCCCCTGATGTCCTGTCATCATACATAAACATTTCCCCTGATGTCCAGTCATCATAAATAAACATTTCCACTGATGTCCAGTCATCATAAATAAACAGTTCCCCTGATGTCCAGTCATCATTAATAAACATTTCCACTGATGTACTGTCATCAAAAATAAACATTTCCACTGATGTACTTTCAACATAAATAAACAGTTCCCCTGATGTCCTGTCAACCTAAATAAACAGTTCCCCTGAAGTCCAGTCATCATAAATAAACATTTCTACTGATGTACTGTCAACATAAATAAACAGTTCCCCTGATGTCTGGTTATTATTAATAAACAGTCCCCCTGATGTCCAGTCATCATAAATAAACATTTCCACTGATGTCCAGTCATCATTAATAAACATTTCCACTGATGAACTGTCATCATTAATAAACATTTCCACTGATGTACTGTCAACATAAAAAAAAACAGTTCCCCTGATGTTCAGTCATCATAAATAAACATTTCCTCTGATGTACTGTCAACATAAATAAACAGTTCCCCTGATTCCAGTCATCATTAATAAACAGTTCCGCTGATGTCCGGTCATCATTAATACACAGTTCTGCTGATGTTCAATCAACATAAATAAACAGTTCTCCTGATGTTCAGTCAACATAAATGAACAGTTCCCCTGATGTCCAGTCATATTTAATAAACATTTCCACTGATGTACTGTCAACATAAATAAACAGTTCCTCTGATGTCCGGTCATAATTAATAAACAGTTCCCCTGATGTACTGTCAACATAATAAACAGTTCCCCTGATGTCCGGTCATCATTAATAAACAGTTCCCCTGATGTCCTGTCAACATATATAAAAAGTCCCCCCTGATGTCCGGTCATCATTAATAAACAGTTCCCCTGATGTCTAGTCATCATTAATACACAGGCCCCCTGATGTCCTGTCAACATATATAAACAGTTCCCCTGATGTTCAGTCAACATAAATAAATATTTCCCATGATTTCCTCTCAACATAAATAAACATTTCCCCTGATGTCCTGTCATCATACATAAACATTTCCCCTGATGTCCTACCATCATACATACACAGGCCCCCTGATGTCCTGTTAACATAAATAAACATTTCCTCTGATGTCCTGTTAACATAAATAAACAGTTCCCCTGATGTCCTGTTTACATTAATAAACAGTTCCCCTGATGTCCTGTTAACATTAATAAACATTTCCACTGATGTACTGTCAACATAAATAAACAGTTCCCCTGATGTCCTGTTATCATACATAAACAGTTCCCCTGATGTCCTGTCAACATTAATAAATATTTTCGATGATGTCCTATCAACATAAATAAACATTTCCCCTGATGTCCTGTCATCATACATAAACATTTCCCCTGATGTCCTGTTTACATAAATAAACAGTCCCCCTGATATCCAGTCATCATAAATAAACATTTTCCCTGACGTCAAGTCATCATTAATAAACAGTTTCTCTGATGTCCTGTTAACATTGATAAACATTTCCACTGATGTACTGTCAACATAAATAAACCTTTCCCCTGATGTACTGTCAACATAAATAAACATTTCCCCTGATGTCCAGTCATCATTAATAAACAGTTTTCCTGATGTCCTGTCAACATAAATAAACAGTTTCCCTGATGTCCTGTCAACATAAATAAACAGTTCCCCTGATTTCCTGTCAACATAAATAAACAGTTCCACTGATGTCCTGTCAACGTTGATAAACAGTTCCCCTGATGTCCTGTTAACATTGATAAACAGTTCCCTTGATGTCCAGTCATCATTTATAAAAAGTCCCCCCTGATGACCGGTCATCGTTAATAAACAGTTACCCTGATGTTCAGTCAACATAAATAAACAGTTCCCTTGATGTCCAGTCATCATTAAAAAATAGTTCCCCTGATGTCCGGTCAACATATATAAACAGTTCCCCTGATGTCCAGTCATCATTAATAAACATTCCCCCCTGATGACCGGTCATCATTAATAAAAAGTTCCCCTGATGTCCTGTCAACATATATAAACAGTTCCCTTAATGTCCAGTCATCATTAATAAACAGTTCCCCTGATGTCCTGTTAACATTAATAAACATTTCCACTGATTTCCAGTCATCATTAATAAACAGTTCCCCTGATGTCCGGTCATCATTAATAAACAGTTCCCCTGATGTCCAGTCATCATTAAAAAATAGTTCCCCTGATGTCCGGTCAACATATGTAAACAGTTCCCCTGATGTCCAGTCATCATTAATAAACATTCCCCCCTGATGTCCAGTCATCATTAATAAACAGTTCCCCTGATGTCCAGTCATCATAAATAAACAGTTCCCCTGATGTCCAGTCATCATTAATAAGCAGTTCCCCTCAACATAAATAAATATTTCCACTGATGAACTGTCAACATAAATAAACATTTCCCCTGATGTCCTCTCAACATAAATAATAATTTCCCCTGATGTCCTGTTAACATAAATAAACATTTCCCCTGATGTCCTGTCAACATAAATAAACAGTTCCCCTGATGTCCTGTTAACATAAATAAACAGTTCCCCTGATGTCCTGTTAACATTGATAAACAGTTCCCCTGATTTCCTGTCAACATAAATAAACAGTTCCACTGATGTCCTGTCAACGTTGATAAACAGTTCCCCTGATGTCCTGTTAACATTGATAAACATTCCCCTGATTTACTGTCAACATAAATTAACATTTTCCCTGATGTCCTGTCAACATAAATAAACAGTTCCTCTGATGTCCTGTCAACATATAAATAAACATTTCCACTGATGTCACGTCAACATAAATAAACGGTTCCCTTGATGTCATGTCAACATAAATAAACAGTTCCCCTGATGAGCCTCTAAAGAGGAGAAAGCGCTAGGGAAGTTGAAAAACAAGATGATTTGTCCATGTGAAGTGGGTAAGTACTGAAAAAGTAAGATATAAAGACCGACTTTAAAACTAGCACCTTTCATCCTTCATAGGGCTCTTCATGTTAATTTTAAAAAAACACATCATCATATCACAACTACATGTCATCACACTACAAAAGTAACGTGACGTCACAATGTACACAAGATTGGTGGAAAAACTAGCGCAAAATTTTACTGTGACTTGTTGAGACGAGGTTTTGATATTTTGTTAAAATGATCTTTCTTTTCTCTTAGAACAGTGTCGGATGACTATAAGAGATATGACGGTAATACATTACATTTATCACCGGCTCATTCATGAATATGTTGAAGATTAGGTTTTAGTTTGTTGTCCATGTGCAGTCATGCGTCTTGTGGGTTCATTGCTAGCTATACTGTTATAAAGGTCACCTTCTTTCCAACAATTAATTGTATAAATTACGTTTTTTTTTTTAATTTACAATTAATATTAGCCTCACAAGTCTGCAACGAAGTGTGTTTTAAAGCTGATTAAGCGTACCTGTTTATTTTTATTCGTGATCTATGACGTCGTTCATTGAAGGATTGAATCCTGTTTCGTTGAGGTGTATGGGGTATTAACCTCAATGGGTCTTCAGACAAATTTTATGAACTGTGAGCAGTTCATTTTGAAATTGTCTCAAGACCCAAAACAGGATTCTATCCTTATATTTACATTCAGTGCGATATTGATATTTTTGGGATAATTTCTAAAATATCGGTCTTGTGCAAGTCTAACACCACGGAAGGTACCGAAGCTTATGACGTCATCACTTACTGTGAAACGTCATCCGGGTAAGATGAAAAACTTGTTTATATTGATTACAACGAATAAGCGAATTAAGATGTAAAATAGTTTTTTAATTCAATTGAAAACTTATGACAAAACGAAAACAACAATTAGAAAACAATCTATTTATAGAACTACTACCCGCGCTCCGCGGAATAAAGGAGTAATCAGGTTGATAATATATGTTGATGTTTTCATACGCCAACTGAAAAGTTCATTGAAAATAACCTTTAAAATGTGTAGTAAGTATATAGAGTCCAAGTTCGGTAGAAATGTAAATAGTCAACCTTACATACTGTAGTACGAGTACATTTCCCAAATGTGTTGCAACACCATCTGCACATCATTTGCATATCAGTTTCTGAAATCCCTTGACTGATGTGACAGCTGTTCAAATACAAGTGACCCATGCTCTCTAATCTCCTAATGTGTATCCTGTAGCCTGCTAAGGTAGATGAACTGCGGATAACCTTATCCTCACTAGATATGGAGACACAATGACTGCGGATGACCTTTTCTTATCTGAGAGTTATATGAGATATGGATATGTTTCCTGATTAACTCATACCCATTTCGGAATGTCGAAATCAACTGAGCAATCCAGCGTGTACGCTCCAATACAGTGATTTGTATAAAGACTTGCGCACTTTCATTTCCGCATTGAAATTTCTATCAGCATAGCACGAGGTCGGAGACAGCATGTGTGTTTATTGTAACATTAATTAATTAATGAATATGATTATGAATAAGTTATTTTTAATTTTATAGTTATCTTTTTGTCATTTATCGACTGTTTAAATACGTTGATTGTCAGAGAAATCAATGACATATATAGCCTCATATTGGACCAAACACTTTACCAAGCTTTATGCCAAACATAGGAACTCGCTTAACTCGAATACTCGGATAACTCGAAGTTTCCCAACGATCCCGTCGACTTCGAGATAACGAGGTTCGACTGTACTTTAGACCCACGTTTTTGTTCACTACATATTTGTTTTTATCCTCGTGACTTGCCAACAGTCTCAGTAGTTAAAACTGATAAAACAAATCATTGTTAAATCATATTCCTGATGTAGAACAAAAAATCACTCATCCTAAATGTACCGTAAAAGAAGGCATTCTCCCGTCTGGAAATGTTCGCGTTGTAACTCTGTAAACTCACCGTTGTGTTTAAATGGTTGCTAGTGCATTAGGTCTTAGATATATATATATTTTATATATCTATATAAAACTTAATTAATCGCTAATTTCCTTAACGAAGAACATGCATGCATTTCAACACCGCGAAAATGTCCATTTTTGCAGTAATTGAATGTACATGTATGTATATACTAAAGATGTTTCATACACTATCTTGAAAGAAGCGTCCATGAATGGTAAACGGAACAACCGTTGGAAGCATGGCCTTATGGGTGATTGTCATGTTTTTAGGGTCAATGATTGCAACATAGCTCTGCTTCGTTGTTCCGTCAAGGAATGAAGATATCAGATAACCGTCGTCCTCTGTCTTAGCGACCTCTGGCGGTAGAGGTATGAACCAGGCCTCTGTAGGATAGTGGTTAGGAATGTAAAGTGCTTTGTCTCCCTGTTGACTGCAAAGGTCTTTTTTCACGAGAGGAATATGAGCAAAGTCCTTTCCGTCATAATTGTACACTCCCCCGTAGACAAAACAGTACGGCTTAGATCGGTAGTTCTCGTTAACTGTCGGTACCTCCAGCTTCGACGCACATTGATACTTGTCAGAATCTTTGAACGTTTGTTCCGTATATCGGTTTCTTTCAATATCAAAAATGAACCTTTTTACTAAGTTTGTCGTTTTGATACTTGCGCGTGCCGTGGCGTTATGAATAGTCGACATCTTGAAGGCAGTTGAAAAGAATGGGTCTCTATGGGCTGCTACGTCCACGACAATCCTACCGTCTGGAAATTCAAATGCGTTGATATGATGTAGCGCCATCATATTCGGGATAGCCATATCATGGATTTGGCCTGTTTTTATATTTACGATATATACGGATGTATTTTCTTTAGAAAACCAATCCAGCCCGTCTTTTACGGATGCATGCATTAGAAGTTCTTCAATATTAATGTAATAGGGCGCGACGAAAAAGATGACGTAATTCGGCGTAACAGAGAATGAATGCATATACGCTGCTTTATCCGTCTCCCATTCTGCTATAACTTGTCGATCGACCATCGATTTTATCCGGACAAGAGTTAATCTGTGTTTTACTCCGGGGGTTAAACTTAAACTTGTGTAAAAATTAAAATACGTGTCTGATGAACCGTACTCGTTTACAGGATGTGCACATGACATGGACGTTATGAACCCCACATTTTCGGCTGGTACCTTTTCCGGATGTGGTACGTTCACTGACTTTAACGTAGTAAGAGACTCATTGACTTCGTACAACTTCCAAGTGTCTGACAATGCTGCGAACACGGGTTTACCCTGGTCCAGGAACTTATATACATTCACATTCATGTTGTCAAGCTCATTTAGAACAGATTCCAGTTTTTGAAAATCGTTAAATGGCGGGTCTACTGCATCAAACGAAAGGAATGGCAAGATGTCATCTTTTGATACTGCATTTACATAGGACTTTGATCTGATAAATTTGGTTGAAAAATATGCAGAGCCATTCCCAGGGAAAGCCCAGCTAGAAAGTTTAGCATACCCGTCTATTGCGTTGAGAAACTTCCTCTGCCCCATCTCAAACTGACCAGGTCCGTTCCTGATCTGTTAAGAAAGGATATATATGTGTTACCAGGGTTACTACGATATAATTACAATTGTTAATCTGATACCAACTAGCAAAAAATGTCAATCTTGAAACGAAAAAAATGCAAATTAAAGCGACTGCAAAAGTTAAGAAAAATTATTATTGTTTTAATCATAAAATGTAACATTTTTAGAAAATATGCTTCTTTTACTTTAAACATAATGACAGTGATAAAAAGAGTGGAAACAATCATACTTTTCAAAATTTTAGCAAAAATGGTCTAACGGACACATTTTACATATCAATACACGACGACCAAACTTCCTACTCTGTACCTGTTTAGTAAATAAAAGAATAATGAGTCATAATGTAGTAAAACTATAATCAAAAACCTAAGAAATTAACAGTTTCCTGAAACACAACAAAAACAGTGATATTGTCTAAATATATATTAATATAAGTGTTAATAAAACTTCTGGCATCGCTCAAAATATTACAAAAACAGTGGTATCGTCCAAAACTATTAAAAAACAGTGGTATCGTCAAAAACTATTACAAAAAACAGTGGTATCGTCCAAAAATATTACAAAAACAGTGGTATCGTCCAAAAATATAACAAAAACAGTGGTATCGTCCAAAACCATTACAAAAATAGTGGTATCGTCCAAAACTATTACAAAAACAGTGGTATCGTCCAAAACTATTAAAAAACAGTGTTATCGTCCAAAAATATTACAAAAACAGTGGTATCGTCCAAAACTATAACAAAAACAGTGTTATCGTCCAAAACTATTACAAAAACAGTGGTATCGTCAAAAACTATAACAAAAACAGTGGTATCGTCCAAAACTATTAAAAAACAGTGGTATCGTCCAAAATATTACAAAAACAGTGGAATCGTCCAAACCTATAACAAAAACAGTGTTATGGTCAAAAATATTACAAAAACAGTGGTATCGTCCAAAATATTACAAAAAACAGTGGTATCGTCCAAAACTATAACAAAAACAGTGGTATCGTCCAAGACTATTACAAAAACAGTGGTATCGTCCAAAATATTACAAAAACAGTGGTATCATCCAAAACTATACAAAAACAGTGGCATCGTCCAAAACTATACAAAAACAGTGACATCGCTCAAAAGATTACAAAAACAGTGGTATCGTCCAAAACTATATAAAAACAGTGGCATCGTCTAAAACTATACAAAAACAGTGGTATCGTCCAAAAAGATTACAAAAAACAGTTGTATCTTCAAAAAATATTAAAAAAAACAGTGGCGTCGTCCAAAACTATTAAAAAACAGTGGTATCCTCCAAAAATATTACAAAAAACAGTGACATCGTCCAAAACTATAACAAAAACAGTGGTATCGTCCAAAAATATTACAAGAAACAGTGGCATCGTCCAAAACTAAAACAAAAAAACTGGCATCGTTAAAATAAAAAATAATACAAAAACAGTGGCGTCGTCGAAAATTATATCAAAACAGTGACATTGTCAAAAAATATAATACAAATCCTGACATCGTTGAAATTATTGCAAAATCAGCTGCATTGTTCAAAAATATATCAGTATCAGTGTCCTTGTCGAAAATTATATCAAAAACATTGGCATAGTCCAAAAATATAATACAAACCCAAGCATCGTTCATAATATTACAAAAACAGTGATATCTTCCAAAAATATAACAAAAAAACTGGCATCCTTAAAATGGTACAAAAACAGTGGCATCGTCCAAAAATAAAACAGAAAAAAACAGTGACATCGCGGATATATCGTCTTAAAAAATTATCAAAAACCTTTCATCGTTGAAAAATACCGTGAAAAAAGACACTCGAAAATAAACCCCAGCTATATCGTCAAAACTAATACAAAAATAATGACATTTGTATTTGTCATATAGAAATATGTATTGTCAAATAATGATACAAATCCTCACCAGTGTTCCTTTCAGCCATTTAGGAAGTGGGTTATCAAAATATATTGGAGTGTTTTCCATTTCATCTTTGTTGGTAGTAAACCACGTCTCAAAACCCTCTGCTCCATCATCCCCGGCAACGCTAACGAAGAGGAGGAGGAGGGCACAGGCCAACACTCCAAGAAATCCTTCAGATATCGTCATGGTAACGGTAGAGTCACATTCAGTATCCGCACTGCGTCGTGGATTTCGGCTTATTTATGCACTTTATCTTCTACGTCACCAAGAGCCTTGTCCTATTTCCAGCTAGTCACCGATTTCATACATTGACCTCCTGTGTTCATCTGTAAAAAATAGTTATGTAACGTGTATATCAGTAGTGTAATCGTTAAGGTGATTGCACTGAGGTAATCAGAGAGGGGTTAATCATAGGTCATTAGATGCTGTTCATATTTCATATCTCCTCCACTCGTCAATCTATTACGTACGTCCTATATAACAAAATGTTCTTCAGAGCCCAAAAAATAGATAATTATACCAATGCAAAATTTAAGTAACGCACAACACAGTGTAACATACTTTTAACGTCATATCGTTTCGGGTTTGACGTTTGTGTCACACGGCCGGCTTTATAAAACATGTGTTTTCAGAGCTATCGGAATGAAAATAGACATATGTAACGCTTATTTATTAGTCATTCGTGTGGTCACAATTTGTATATGACAAGTGTAACCAATTTTGACAATGATCGAGTTGAACGTGAAGATAACGGTAAAGAAGTGAAAGAAAAATGTGATAAAATAACGCTACCCGTATAAGTACCATCTGCTTCCTTAATATCAACAATGATATGTAAGTTATAAAGCACATATTGATTAAGTACATAAAATAACATGCATATATTAAAATAATCCGTATTTTTTTATTCGATTGAAGCCCGAGTATGAGGGCGCGCTCAAATTATACTACATTGTATAATGACGTGATGTCATTTGCCATTTAGTCGTACATTGACATTGGTGTTGTTACCCTCAGAGTTATCACACTGTTCACGCATTCCAATAAATCAATTTGAAAAATCACATACAAGATCGAATTTCGCTCAATACATTTTCCACACAGGCTAAAATATCTAAATGTTCTCCTCCTTCACCTGTAATTTGTAATTGTACAACCTGCTATCCGTCAAAATGTATACAACAATGGCTACTTTACCCCCATCCTATATTCTAGGGGTTAGGCTCACTTACGCTCTCTGTGCCCCTGGAATTTGTCATGACAAAATCGAAGGCTCAGTGTGCATCACCTTGTAGATGATACGAGAAGACTAGTTTGATACTTTGATGTACGTGACATTAAAAGAATTGCTCGGTCGCGTAACGGTAAATTGACTGGCTTTGTAGTTGGGTGTCGCTCTTCAGAACTCCATGTTGTACATTGTAATGAATCTGAGGAAACCAATAAATTTGAAATTTGTAATCTTCAAATGCCCAGGTATCGGTCAGGGGTTTTTTCTTCCTGAGACTAGCCGGGTGCCTTCAATTTTGCTTTGACATGTTCCAGGGGTACAGAGAGCGTAAGTGAACGTAACCCCTGGAGTATCGAGGATGCTTTGTCCCGCAAAAGCTTGTATTTCGATGTGTTTACCAGGTCAAAATATAGGCCTTCTACTACCTACGACCCACTCTGAAAAGAGTTTCCACGTCATTTTCATTACGTTCATCAGATAGTAATCGTTGGTTACGTCTTAGGTGAACACAGTTATGATGTCTCCTGTCGTAAAGAAGTCTTTTATGCTAGTGTTCTTGTTTTGTTTTCGACAGGAGATTAGCAATAGGTGGTAGGATTGATATTTGTGACAGGGGAGTTGGATTGGTCCATGTGACTTACAGGTGACAAAAGTAGCTGTGCAAGATTAATCTATGTTGCAGGAATATGACAAAAGTCGGCGGGGTTCATATCAGTGTGACAGGAGGATGACAATAGTCGGTAGGATTGATATCATTGTGACAGGAGGATGACAATAGTCGTAGGGATTGATATCATTGTGACAGGAGGGTCACGACAATAGTCGATGGGGTTGATATCATTGTGACAGGGGGTGACAATAGTCCGTGATATTGATATCATTGTAACAGAAGGGTGACAATAGTCGGTAGGTTTTATATCATTTTATTATACCTCTACTTTATTTACTCTATATAAAAGTAATTGGTTAAATCGAATATATCCCCACTTTTGCCTGAGTGTGTTTTAGTCGTGTGTGTTAGTCTGGGAACTAAAACACACCTACACTCGGGTGTTTCCGCCGAGCCAATCAGGCGAGAGGTGGGCGGAGCTTGTTACCGAGCTCGGAAGCGACGCGCGAGGTGGACGGAGCTTGCTACCGAACTCTGAAGCGACGCGCGAGGTGGACGGAGCTTGCTACCGAACTCGGAAGCATTTGGCTCCATTGCCATCTACAGCTTATGGTTTACAAATATTTTCTATCAAAAATTCAAACATATGCAGAATGGGTCCATATTTTACTTTTAAATATCCATTTATTTAAACGCGTAACCCGTTTACAATGTACGTTACACATTACATTGGAATAATGGCGAATTTTGACGTTATATCGGTGATTATTACGTTGCACTCGAAACTGCTATATATTTTAATGAAATATTCAGGTAGATCGAATTTTTTCCTGAACAAGATGGTATGCAATAACATATATATTTGATCCTTATTCAGATTTGATATAGCGCTAATGTAGCGAAATCCGCGACTTTTCGTATGTGCGTCAACATCTGACGTTACGGAACTGTAAATAATATCGCTACCAGAGAGTAAAATACCCACAGTTTAGCATTGTTCTGGTAGACTACAGATTTATTTTTGTCTTAGTTTTCGACGTTAAAGTGTTCTTTACAAGGAAACGTTATAGAGGAGGGGCGACACTGAAGGTGTCGTGTGCATAAAAATATGTGTCACGTGACCGGAATTCGGCCNAAGGATCGTGAAAGGTGAGTAATTTATGTTTATGCCCTCCAGTAGTATAAATATTTTAAGGATATATTATCGAATTAGTATGAAAACAACGATTGTAGTAGGAAAATGAAGAGTATAAAAAGGGTACTATCAGCAGCCATTACGTTTTTCTCTCTCAGCATCTGGACCTGATGTCAATTTTCAAAGTCTTACGGAAAACCGTTTGAGATTCAAAGTTGAAGATAGAACACGATAAAGAACATTCATGAAGCATTTTAAATTTTAAAAGGTCTCCTTAAGTCTCCACATTTGACTACACAGTTGACCACGGAAAATCCCCTATTTTTCAGTGATTCGCTACTGATGCAAGAAAATTTCCTTGAGCAGAAAATCGAGATAAAGATTTATTTGAACTACCCTGAGCCCACTTTCCATAAAAATTAAGAAAATGTTATAGGACATATGTTATAAGATAAAAACAAATGTGCATATAACTGTAAAAATAACTTAACATGGCTAGACAGATTTACAGAGGCGGATTTAGGCCGGGGGGCGGGGGGTCCTCCCTTATGGAGCTTCATATATGATTAACTCATTCACCCCTGAAATTTCATAATAAACTACTCCAACCTTTGAATTGGCAGAGTTCATATGTGTCTCCAGGGTTGAATGAGTTAATGCATAGACTTTTTACAATTTTTACTTGACAATAATGCCATTATATAATTTCCTTCTTGATTACAAATATGCAGTTGCTGTTGATAAAATGGATACTCCAGTAGTGGCCAGATATGTTTCAATTTTAAAAAATCCAAAGAAAAGCTTATTTCAGAGTCCTGTGGACACTGGCAAGGAGAATGATTTGCCAGGATTTTCAACACCTTTGGTACATGTATGTATAAATACAAAATGTAATGCTCAATTACATAGGGTTCTCCCATGATACATGATACATGTATATGTGCTCAGTTGATTCTACATTTTTTATTGTTTATAGAGAAACCATTAAGATGTAACAAAAGTGTATATTTTTTCCTTTTTTAATGTGTACATGATAAACTTTTGTAAACTTTTAAATCTCACAACATCAAAGCTCAATTTTACAGAAATTTTAATTAAATTCTTTTGGTCTGTAGAAATTATTTTTACAGGCCCAAATAAGTTGACAAGTCTGGGAAGGTGGGTTTGTGGTGAAGACTGTATGTGTCATGAATGTTCATTTTTTCTGAGAATCTGTACACAATAAATATAAATACAGTATTTGTTCTGAACATAATGTACAGTTAAGTCTGATTATTTACAAAAAAATGAAATTTTAGGCATCAATGAGCTCCCGTGTAAATACTCAGAAAAGGAATAGGAAACTTAGCTGGTCACCTGTAAAACGAACTCCTGTTAGGAGTCCGCCAAAGAAGAAAAGCAGAGAAGGAGCATGGACTGATGATCAAGTTCGAAGTCTAATTGAATTTGTGGCTCTACATAAAGATTTGCAAACTTCTGACAGTGAATGGCCATCCATGAGATCAGATCATGTTTATTGGATAAAAGCAGCTGAATATGTTCAGATGATAGATGGTTCCACTCGTAGTCGTAAGTTAAAGTATATTTTAAATGAGTGTTCAATGTCTCTACATGTAGTTTTCTTAACTAATACTTTTTGACCTTCAAAGTCACCTAAGGTTTAACAGAGACTACAAGCGTGTATATTTGGCCTTGCTTTGTGTATTTTGAAAACAGGTTACCATTTAATATATATCAAAACTGCTAATACACATTTTTTTTGGCAATAGACCCATTGCAAATTTGTTTTTGTTCATGACTTTTTCTACCTGACCAGTAGTATCTTAGACAGTTGTGTAAATATTTTAAAAGTGATACATGTACACGTATTATATCAAATACTATGGACAATTCCTTCCTGTTGAAGAACAGCAGTTTTCTCTATAATAATAACTTGGTATAACCCTTTCACCACTGTAGACCATAATGAACTCATCCATATCAATGCATGGTAGAGTCTACTCAAGTTACATAGGGGTGAAAGAGATAACAAAGATGCTTGAAGTGGTGTTAAATACCAAAAAACAAAAATTCTCATGATCATCTAGCATAAGAATTAATGGCTTCTAATATTAAACTATATATTTATTCCTTATTTTACAGCAACATCATGTAGATCCAGGATAGTGAATAAACTCAGATCAACTTATTCAACTATTTCAGAAGCTGAAGATGCTTACAGTTGTGATTATGAGGACATCAGGGAGTTAAATGGTGACTCGGGATTCCTGGAACCTGATCAGAATACCAGTATATCACCTGCAATTGACGTCATTGAAAAAGTGTTACTCAAGTCACTCAAAAGATTAGATGTTGAACAATCAACAAAACTTGTTGAACAATTCTTTAAGCAGAATTCTGAGATAAATAAAAAAATATTTGCTAAACTCATTAATACCAGAGGACATCTTATTGGACATATTCGATAATATTAACATTACGGCAAGTCAAAGAAATGAGGTGGTACTAAAAAACTTTGATAAAGTATCCCGTTCAGACAAACTATGTCTTCTAGACACACGTTTCAAAACTGTATGTGCTGAAAATGGTATAAAACAACCACCAGAGAAATTCACAAGCCTATCAATCAAATCAATGGATATACTACAGAAAAAAGGGAAACCAAATGTACTACTAGATTTTGCCAGATGTCTCGGCACCAACAGACCCGATTCTGATAGTCCACTTTTGCCAGTTGACAGGATGCCCTTTGGTTTGATTCAGTATCAGTTGCAGTTTTTCAGTACTTCAAATTCAAAAAAGGTAATTATCTTAAGTTTCAATTTAATTTTCACACATTCTTTTTTCGTACATGTACATGCACATTAAATTATTTTGAAACAGAAGTTGTTTAACCAAGCTTAAGTGCAGGTGTCGGAAGCTTAAATTTATTAGTTGGTGTCAACTTGTTTTAAGACTATCTGATATTTCCTAAATGTATATATTGCAATTAATTAATGATAGGTTTATTCTTCCTTCAAACTGAAAGGCATGGAGTGGGTATAAATGAGTATCATCTCTATATGTAAGGAGACAGCACTGGACTCACAAGTAATATTCAAGTAGTAAATATGTACACCATGTACATTACGACTTTCAAATTCTATCATTAACTGTGTGTTGCATACATTTATTGTAAAAATTCATACTATAACTTGCTTCTTTTTCATGTACCATGAATATATTGTATTCTATACATTACTATTTCAGATATCAATACCTGATGATTATTATCAATGGTTGGAAACCTTGATGCAGAATTTGAAGACAGACTAGGTCGTTTGATAAGAGGACCAATGTGGAGTGGCCTTCCATCTTCAGATGTTGGTGATCCACTGAAGGTATAAATTACTTAATTTCCTCCACTAGAACAGTATGGGCTCAAAACATAATGGGGCTCCTTTAAAAAAAAATATTTTTTTTTATGTATATTCATTTAACAACCCAGGCATGCATACATCAATAGTGGGTTGTCTGGGGATGGGCTGCCCCAGCTTCGACCCACAATACATGAAACACTCTCTATTTTCTTTCTTCACACTCAACACTTGTTCATTTCTTTCTCGCTCACTTTTTCACACTCTCATACTGTAATTTTTATATTTTACCTCACTTTTTTACACTCTCGTACAGACCCTCCTCACACAGAGATAACAAAAACAAAACAAAAATATACGGAAATTTTGTCCGGTTTCCGGGTTCCTTAGCTACATGTATGTGTTTTCATGCATTTCCGCTGATTGTTGTGCACAGGGAGTGCGAAGGATTACAGAATGAATAAAAGTGGTAATAATTGTATTTAAATGACTCTGAAAGCTAATAATATATTTTGAATGCCTCAGTTATATTGTTGTTCATGTTGTGTGACCCTGTTGAGATCAGTATTTGCATTACTCGACTATACTCAATCGGTTTTGTTTTACCTTAATCTCGGTCACATGTTTACAGTCTCAATGTAATGCCAATGTTACAGACATTTCTCTTCCTGAACGACTCCGGATTCTGTATATCCCTGTTATGTTTAGCCGAATCTATTAAAATAGCCTAACACATCACTTGTTTCTGGGGGTTAGTATTACGTGAATTGGGGTGGGGGATACATAATATTAGAGATTGCATAATAATTTATTTCATTATAAAATTTATTTCATTAGCGAAATGGAAATTTTAATTTGATTGATTGGTTGGTGTTTAACGCCACTTTCAGCACTCAGTATATAATGAATAACTATTTTAAGCTATTGAAGATAACTTAATTATGGTCTCTCTCTTATTTTATTTAGGCACGTGTCAATTTAGCAGCTATGAGCAAGAGAACAACTCAGAGAAGAACTTCCACCTCAGAATTTACCACCACCCCAAAAATACAGGTATATTTGTAATTCACATTTTAAGTACACAAAGACTAATTTCAACGATACATATGGTAAATAAAATAAGGTGGAGCACTGATAATGAGACAACAACCCAACATATAAATAAAAATAGTGGTAGCTATGTCAATGACACATCAACCCAACAACACAATAAATAGAAGTCAACATACAGTCTTTAGCTTAAAAATTAGGTCAAGCACTAATTACATGATACAGTAACACCCAGTTTAAAAAAGTTTTTAATAAAGTAACAGACTAACAAAGATTTGCCTTGTCTTTACTTAAGTTCATGAATGTTACATACATGTACATTTTGTTTATCAGCGGTTATTCAGTTCTCAGGTTTGATAAACAACAACAAATTTAAATTGGCCAGTCATAGTTGCCTTTGTCAAAAACATGATACAAGAAGTATTTGGTAGAAATCGAAATTTATATGATGTTTTTTCTTTCTTTTTTCAGACTCCAGCAGTAAAATCCATCACAGAAACTAATCCTAATGGTCGATTTTGGCTAAAATTGGACGGAACTGATGTGAAAGAATCCTTACAACATTCTGTAAAAAATATTTGGAATGGGGATGTTGACCTAAATGATGGGCAGCTTGAATTCTTACGAGACGAATACCAATCTAGACTTGACTGGATAAACTCCATACAATTGACCACCGAAGAAGACCTAAAAACTAGTTTAGAAACAGGCTTGGTAAATTTAGAACTAGATGAGAAATTTCTTCAAGATGCTTTTAAGAAGGCCACAAATGATTTTAGAAAGAAAATGAATCAGAAAAATGCAAATTCAGAAACACTCAAAGGCCTGAACTGGGAAGTTGTGGAATGCAACACTCTGCTGCAGCAGTGTTTGGAATTTATGTCCAAGCTTAAAAGTGATTCAGACTCCAGAGCTAATATTAAGTCCATAAGTCAGGAATATCCAATATATTTAAAGAACTTATTCAAGAAAAAGAGGACAGCAGTGACCCACATACTTGTTATTGCCATTTCTGATGAGCAGAGGAACATAAAGCCATATGCACTTCCAATCCAGTATTTACCCTACAAATCTCTGAGAGACCAGTATGTTAGAGACATAACAGAGCCTATTAAAAATGCTTTAACACTGGCTGGAATTAATGTTGTTGGTAAGTTTAGATTATGTTAATTGCAGGAAATTGTTTTTTATGTAATATGATACATCAAGATTGGCTAGATGAACATAAAGCATTTGACAAAATGTTGTGCACATAAAGTAACTTGTGTAACACGAAGAGAAAACAATCTACTGTTAAGACAAAATGTAAAACATGCATAGATTACTGTTATGCTGTTAAATCTTTTAACTGGCACATACAGCTTTTATAAGATTATTTTATGCAGGAACTGTTACTTCCTCACATTACTCATGAGCATAACAGACATATTTCCACACAGCTAGCCCTTTTGCTTTTAGTTGCAGATGACCTTCTGACATTTTAGAACTACTTTCATGGATTTCCCAAATCTAATAGCTCAATTTCAATGTTTATATATGTATATTGATGGTCATAAATTTACATTTAAAATACAATGTACAAGGACTTGTTCATTTCAACTGACAACCTTTTCAGGTCTTGTAACAGATGGAGAATTCAATTCTCTAAGGACACAGGGAGACACTGGCCCTCTTCACACTTGGCAACTAGTTCATGATTCAAAAGAGGTCGTCAGAAAAATGTCAAAAGCAACACTTGAATCCATGCTTACATATGACGGTGGTATGTATATTTTTATATATAAAGCCTATTTATAATACTTTGGTACATTGTCTAACATAGTTTTGACCTTTATTTGTTTTTTTGAAGATTTTTAAATTCTTAAACTAAGAAACCATATCGTTTAGATTGCCACAAATTTTATTGTTTCATGTCTGTTTTGTATGTTTTGATTGATGCTTTATGACATAAATGAAGATATGTCCAAAAAAAATAGGGAATAAATTCTAGGAGATGTACTTCAATCAGACACTCTTGTACATATAAGAGACAGAAATAAAAAAGAACATGTCATATTACAGCATACCACATGCTCATTTACAAATAGTTTTTATGACAATATATCCTTTTTCATTAATACCATATCATATAGATTGTATTACATGCTTCATGAAATATCCTTTTTTTGTGCTATAGTTTTTCTCCTGTGTATTTCCAGATGACGAAAATGGTATCCCATTCGCAGAGTTACCAAACGAATACATACCCTCATATGTTTTATTAGACATGGTTGACATGTTAAATGATGGTCTCACTTTTGAAGACAGCATTGTTTATTTGTGTGGTAAACTGGTACCCGAGGGATACACACCTTACCCATTCCGCAGGGACACACCAGAATCCTTCATTGATCGGTTAAGAAGCCTAGTAAGCACATATGTTTATAGACATACTGTCTCCAGTTTAAAATCAGAGGGGAGAGATTTATCACAACACCTGTATATGCCAGAAATTGACAAGACAACGTGCAAACAACATCATGAGAGAGGCGACCATAACCATGTTCTGAAGCGCATAGCTACATCAACAAGGGAATGCCGATATCAAGAACTGGATCCGGAGGCATTTGACAAAGCATTGTTGGATCCAAGAGCAGGACTATCTCATGCCGCACTTACTGGACAAAGACCCCAGTCTGTAGAGGATGCAGAAAAGCTGTTGTCTTACCATGTAGCAGCCAGAATGCAGCGCAATGGGCTGAATATGTAACAACTGTGGCTGCTTGGCATGAGGCTTCAGATGGAAGAGGAATGGGACAACTGAGACGGTGCAAGGCAAATTATCAGATGTTAAACTACATTTTAGCAGACCTTATGCCATGGTACGAGGAGAATTATGACTTCACATATATTGATGTCAACAGGTATGTGTGTTAGCTCAAGAGACGCTGGAATCAAAAATGTTTAAAAGGCAAAATAAAAACAAATAATACCTTGGCTAAAACAATAACAGTCCACAAAACATATGTAAGGTATTGCTTGTTTTATATGCATATATAATATACATGTATATGTATTAATTGTTTTAAATGCTTATATAACTTGTGTATTGTTTGTATTATATGCTGTCTTCTTACCTTCTTTTAATAATTTCAGACCAATGGATAATATTAGAGGGTTTACCAGAGAGACGTTTATTGAAATAACAACAAATATTGAAAGCCAGGAAGTACGACGCCTGCAAAACGCAGAATTTGGTTATCCTGAACACCCAAGGGCTGCTACAACAGATGATGTAGAATGTTTTTTTAGTTTGACGAGACGACAGATTGGTGATACTTTCACTGTACCAGAATTTCAGAACCAATGGGCAAAAATAGTTAGAGAATTTTGCAAACGGTTAGACCTTGAACTGCCTTTCCATTACTGGACCAGGAATGAAAGGTTTAAGACAGAGGAATCAGGTTTCGATGAAGATGTTGATGAGAAGAGACTTCACACAGTACGACACACACGGAGAGAAGATTGTTCAATATTCACCTCAGGAAGAGCCTTCCTACCAGCAAGAAACAAAGCCTTAGACCACGTTTATTTCGAGTTGATGTTGGTTTACCCCCAGTACCTGACAACATGCAGTCGAGTAGAAGTTAACTTTTTCTGTGTTGTTTTAGGTTTCAGTGGTGTAACTGTAAATACTGTTTATCAGAATTCAATGTGATGAATAATTGCTGAAATTGGACAATTATTTTATTCATTTGTAATTGTAGTGTAAAAGTAGTGCAATTTTGTTTTTATTGAGACAGTTTAACAATATGTGATTAAAAATAAAAATTTCACAGTGGAAAATTAGAAATATTCCATTACCAGTAGATTTGCAACTTAAACTATTTGATTCACTTGTATATCACCCATTATGATGTATGCGAGTGAGATATGGGGATTCAAAAAAGCTGGTATTGTTGAACAAACCCATTTGAAATTTTTCAAGAAGATCTTAAATCTAAGGAAAAGTACTCCAAACTATATGATATATGGAGAGCTTGGTCGATACCCATTGGAAATAGATATTAAAACATGTAGGTGACGAATTTCATTATTTGTACCAATGTCAGAATGACGCTGTAATTGAAATACGTCATCATTACATTCCCAATTATTATTATATCAATCCAACTACTGTAAAAATGAAAGGTATGTTTTCTATTTGTAATTCTTCCTAGCTCAGCAAAATAAGCAAATTCTTATCTAAACTAGAAAAAATGCTAAATATATTATACTAATTTATTATGTATGCCATGTATGCTTTGCTATTCTTTTCTCTAATATGGTCTGCTATATATGTAGGTATGCCAGTTTTACAATGCTAGGCTATATGTCATGTATGTATGTATGCTTTGCTATGATATGTATGCATGCTATGTTATGCAAAGTATGTTTGTGTGTATGCTATTATATGCATGTATGTATGGTAATATATGTATGCATTTATGCTGTTATATGTATGCATGTTTACTGTTATATGTATGTATGTATGTATGCTGGTTTATGTAAGTAGGTATGTATGTTGTTATATGATTGCAAGTGTGCTGTTGTATGTATGTATGCTATTATATGCATGTTTGTATGCTATTATATATATCTATGATGTTATATGTATGTATGCTATAATATGTATGTATGATACAATATGGATGCATGCTATGCCTAGTATGTATGCATTTGCTTTTAAATACACCAATCTTTCCAGTTTGTCTGCCATTATAAAATGTATTCGAAGATTGACCTCCTGTTACACACGAAATGTGTGTCAAGAGTGAATAAAAAATCTTGAATCTTAAAAATCTTGATTCGATCTTTTTGTTTTTGAGGAAAAGGTTACTAGTAAGTAAATATTTATGCAGGCCCTGTCTTCATATTTCCAGCTGCAGAAATTATTTCAGATTTGTTGTGTAGAAATGATTAAATCTACATGAAGCCTTATTCAAACCTTATCACAGTTTACATTGATTATCTTCCATTAGGATGAGTAACCTCAAATTTCAGTAAGTTTGTTTTTTCAGTAGAAACAGTCGGTTATAATTCAAAAAATCTTTAATAGGTTATATCTTTTGTAACCACCAAGTCCTCAATTTTTCACAAAGAAAATTCATTTGTTGAACAGCTAGAGAGGTTATTCCTGAACATGGTAAATGATCTTTGTAAAATGCAAAATGGGAATAAAACCATCATTGGTGTACAATACAAAATGTCCATTATGTCAGTTATTGAGCTAAATTTACAGCTGCCTGAAAGACAAGTTCACTCATTGAGTTCTTAGATGACCTGTTTTTATTATGTAGCAGGTTTCTGTTCAGTACAAGAAAATAATGACACCAGTGCTCACAAACCTTTTTTACCCTGCAACATTCTTCATGTGCCTATCCCAAATTAGGAGTCAGTATATCAGTTGTTGTTGTTGGTTGCTGTCCTTCATTTTTGTTTATTGTTTCTTCTTGATCAGGCTGTTGGTTTTCTCATTTGAATTGTTTTACATTACATCAGATCAGGTCTTTTTTTAACTGACTATAGTTTATATATATTGGTTGTGCTCATTGTTGAAGGTGGTAAGGTAACCTAGAGTTGCTAATATCCACATTATTTGAACTCTGGTTGATAGTTGTCTCTTTGGCAATCATACCACATCTCCATAATTTTATATAAATAATACACTAGTACAACAGACAACACAAACAACCAATTCCAATGAAAAATTGATGCAAAAAAAATAAAAAAAAATAAGACCAAATAATAAAGAACAAAACAAAGTCAGATGAAATTCCAGATAGCCTGACTTAATAGATGCCTTCTTAAAAAAAATAACCAATACTGTAACTGGAACTTGATATTAAACCATATAATTCTGTCATTTATGCATGAAATCAACATGATGATGCCGTGTGCAAAGTGTCGCCCCTCCTCTGCGTTATACATGTAGGTAAGAACAGAGAAAAAAATGAAAAGCTGCATAGAATCAAAATACGAAGCTGAAATCAGATGTATTCTGTGAAGTGTGTGACAGAGAATTGATAAAATCTTGCCATTTCTAAATGTATTGTTACTTTATCAATAATCTCACTTGAAATTGACATACTATTAATCGTACAATTTTAAATAAAAATTATCATGTAGGTAAAAGTTTTCAATAAAATTTACTGTTGCAACTTGCATATGGAAATTTCCTTCATACTTTACATGTTAAACAGAGGTTCCCTACGATTACTTTCAGTGAGAACAATTGATACTAATCCCTATTCCGTCTTTTCGTTTTGCAGAGTTATCTGCTCTTGTGATCAGGTAATGATTGTTACGTCATTTGTTTGTGAGAGTAACGACATCAATTTTTGAGAAAACGACGTAATTTTATCACACAAACCAATGACGTAACAATCAATACCTGCTTACAAGAGAAGATAACTCTGCAATACCCAAAGACGGAATATATAAACCAAACATATATGACTTTACGTCGGAGAGAGAACTATGATATCACTGTGATATTTTTCTCCTCCACTGTCGTCTATGTACAATATACAAACGAACGACAACTCTTCCTCAACTCCATTCTGTACTTAGTGACAATATAACGCTTAACAATCAAACTTTTTTTTATGGTTTCCAACACGAGGCGATGTATGAATATAAATATTGTAGAGTTGGTTCAGAGGTACATTGGAGACACGAGACGATGTATGAATATAAATATTGTAGGGTTGGTTCAGAGGAACATTGGAGACACGAGACGATGTATGAATATAAATATTGTAGAGTTGGTTCAGAGGTTCATTGGAGAAACGAGACGACGTATGAATATACATATTGTAGAGTTGGTTCAGAGGAACATTGGAGAAACGGGACGACGTATGAATATACATATTGTAGAGTTGGTTCAGAGGTACATTGGAGAAACGGGACGACGTATGAATATACATATTGTAGAGTTGGTTCAGAGGTTCATTGGAGACGCAAGACGATGTATGAACATAAATATTGTAGAGTTGGTTGAGAGGTACATTGGAGACACGAGACGATGTATGAGTATAAATATTGTAGAGTTGGTTCAGAGTTACATTGGAGACACGAGACGATGTATGAATATACATATCGTAGAGTTGGTTCAGAGGTACATTGGAGACACGAGACGACGTATGAATATAAATATTGTAGAGTTGGTTCAGAAGTACATTGGAGACACGAGACGATGTATGAATATAAATATTGTAGGGTTGGTTCAGGGGAACATTGGAGACACGAGACGATGTATGAATATAAATATTGTAGAGTTGGTTTAAAATTACATTGGAGACACGAGACGATGTATAACTTTTTTTTATGGTTTCCAACACGAGGCGATGTATGAATATAAATATTGAAGAGTTGGTTCAGAGGTACATTGGAGACACGAGACGATGTATGAGTATAAATATCGTAGAGTTGGTTCAGAGTTACATTGGAGACACGAGACTATATATGAATATACATATTGTAGAGTTGGTTCAGAGGTTCATGGGAGACACGAGCCGATGTATGAGTATACATATTGTAGAGTTGGTTCAGAGGTACATTGGAGAAACGGGACGACGTATGAATATACATATTGTAGAGTTGGTTCAGAGGTTCATTGGAGACACGAGACGATGTATGAATATAAATATTGTAGAGTTGGTTAAGAGGTACATTGGAGACACGATACGAAGTATGAATAAAAATATTGTAGAGTTGGTTCAGAGGTTCATTGGAGACGCAAGACGATGTATGAACATAAATATTGTAGAGTTGGTTCAGAGGTACATTGGAGAAACGAGACGATGTATGAATATAAATATTGTAGGGTTGGTTCAGGGGAACATTGGAGACACGAGACGATGTATGAATATAAATATTGTAGAGTTGGTTTAAAATTAAATTGGAGACACGAGACGATGTATGAACATAAATATTGTAGAGTTGGTTGAGAGGTACATTGGAGATACGAGACGATATATGAATATACATATCGTAGAGTTGGTTCAGAGGTACATTGGAGACACGAGCCGATGTATGAATATAAATATTGTAGAGTTGGTTTAAAATTACATTGGAGACACGAGACGATGTATAACTTTTTTTTATGGTTTCCAACACGAGGCGATGTATGAATATAAATATTGAAGAGTTGGTTCAGAGGTACATTGGAGACACGAGCCGATGTATGAATATAAATATTGTAGAGTTGGTTTAAAATTACATTGGAGACACGAGACGATGTATAACTTTTTTTTATGGTTTCCAACACGAGGCGATGTATGAATATAAATATTGAAGAGTTGGTTCAGAGGTACATTGGAGACACGAGCCGATGTATGAATATAAATATTGTAGAGTTGGTTTAAAATTACATTGGAGACACGAGACGATGTATGAACATAAATATTGTAGAGTTGGTTGAGAGGTACATTGGAGACACGAGACGATGTATGAATATGAATATTGTAGAGTTGGTTCAGAGGTACATTGGAGAAACGAGACGATGTATGAATATAAATATTGTAGGGTTGGGTCAGAGGAACATTGGAGACACGAGACGATGTATGAATATAAATATTGTAGAGTTGGTTCAGAGGTACAGTGGAGACACGAGACGATATATGAATATACATATTGTAGAGTTGGTTCAGAGGTTCATTGGAGACACGAGACGATGTATGAATATAAATATTGTAGAGTTGGTTCAGAGGTACAGTGGAGACACGAGACGATATATGAATATACATATTGTAGAGTTGGTTCAGAGGTTCATTGGAGACACGAGACGATGTATGAATATAAATATTGTAGAGTTGGTTCAAAGTTACATTGGAGACACGAGACGATGTATGAATATAAATATTGTAGAGTTGGTTAAGAGGTACATTGGAGACACGATACGAAGTATGAATAAAAATATTGTAGAGTTGGTTCAGAGGTTCATTGGAGACACGAGACGATGTATGAATAAAATGAGTATAAATATTGTAGAGTTGGTTTAGAGGTACTTTGGAGAAACGAGACGATGTATGAATATAGATATTGTAGAGTTGGTTCAGATGTGCATTGGAGACACGAGACGATGTATGAATTTAGATATTTTAGAGTTGGTTCAGAGGTACATTAGAGACACGAGACGTATTAGATTCTTGTGATTCCCAACTGGATTGAAAATTTGTTTCGCCTAATTCACCCAATACACACGTCGATTTACCAAATACGACCCAATACAGAAACAAAACACTCAATAAAACTGATATAATGACGGGAATGATATAAATAATTCATCGCTGTTACATTGGAAAAATTATAGCAAGATATATTTCATCATTTATGAAGTATTTATATCAATTACCACGGAAATG